CAGCTTGAGCCAGCCGCGGCGGGGTGGTGAGGGCTAGGTGAAGAAAGGTGTGCACAACAAACCCCCAGCGGTCAACAGCACCACCAACCGCCCCGCTCCAGCCACCTCCAGGCTCGACTCCAGGGCCCCCAGCCGGCATGCACGGTAAAAACGACGTCTTTGGTATTTTAAGCAGCCAAGTATCTGTTATGGAAGAAATACACATGGGAACATCTCGGGTTTTCCAAAACTGCCTGAAAACCAAGACGGCGTTTTCGTCGTGAGAGGCAGAGCGATCAAAACGGGAATTTAGGTTTTATTTGTCGTAAGTGGGACAAAAAATAATTTTTATTTTAGCTAAAGTACGACATTTTTGTTTTTTCAATCTCAGATAGTGTCCATTTGGAGGTAGTTCTTTAAAAAATCAACAATAGAATAAGCTAAGCAGGACAGTTCCAAGAGTGAGACACGTATCAAGCAAGAGGTTCTATACTTTTGTTTTTAGAGTTTGTTTGAGCCGTCACACACATACAAACTTCTTTTTGAATGAGGGGAACATAGAACGTACCCCTTCTTCTATCTTAACAGTGCGGCAAGAAGAAGAAGAAGAAGAAGAAGAAGAAGAAGAAGAAGAAGAAGAAGAAGAAAGAGTCCCATAAATCCGCGATAAAGAAGCAGTACACGGTAGGCAATTGGTAAAGGAAGGACAAAGCGAGTCGGGGGGTTTAAAAATGAGGTGGGGAGGGGTGAGGGCTGCAGGGGTAGAGTGCGGGGGTGGGGGAGGTGTGCGCTGATTGCCTCAGATAACGCGCCGCTTGACCGACCCGTCGCGACGACGGCCAGCGTGGTACACGCCCAAAAGTTATGGCCCCTTAAAATGAAATAAAAAAAATGTCAAGTGTATGAAAAAAAAAAGAAAGATGCATTACTGAGAGATAAAAGTGGCCCGGAACACCATAACCATGAAAATTAATCACTCAAGTGAATACATTAAAACAAAAACTGTGGGCAAACCATTTCGTATACTGCTCATCGTGTCTCCTCTGCATATATTGACATTTTGTAAACAGCAGGACGTTAGATAACTTTACTGACATCTAATTCAAAGATCTCAAAGATCTTACACAAATACTTCGCATCTGTTGTCTACTTCCGTGGCATCTCCTTTGCCGCGTGGCTCCAAAATCACACACCTACGGAGCAGTGACCTCTTCGCACCGTGAGTGAGAGAGAGCGAGCTGACGCTTGAAGGTGGTTCGGCGCCGTCCAGACGAGTACCCTTTACGGTAACCTCGGGCCCTTGACTCTAAAGGGCCGAAACGGTAAGGTTCGTTCTTCAGCCGAGTGCGCGTGAGGGGGAGAGGGCCAAGGCAAAAGCCTCAGGGTGGGGAGGGGGTGTTGACCCTCAGGGGCTGACCCCGAGGGTGTCCGGTGGACGGTAAGCTGAGCCCAATGTAAACATTGCACACTGCGCTGCCTTGGATTACCGCCGCCCCGCCTTTTTGCCAATTTGGCTGCAGAGCGGCGAAGCGGGAGGCGAAAAAGGGCCAAAGCGGACTGGACAGCTCTGATTTTAGTGGCGTATTTACAAATTTACAGCTGCAGATAAGGGAGTCATTGCTTCGCTCAATTTTGGTTTCGTTGCCGCATTCTATCCCAGCACTGAAACTGGTAATATAAATTTAGTTTCTCGGAATAAATGCTCACCTGGTTGCCTAAGGTGACTGTGGGGGTCGAGGGATGACTTGGACATCGTTGAAAGGGCGTTCGACGTGTATCCTGCAAGCAGAGAAGGGCGCCCGTTAAAACATAGGATATCAAAACATTCGCAAAACTGCATGCTGCTGCAGGACAACGGATAGTGATGATGGGGTATTGTTGATAAAGTACCATGAGGGGGAATAGACAAAAGGGACAGTAAATATGGACCGATGACAAGCGTATAAAATAAATGTCAAAAAGGAGTATGCTAATAATTTTGTAGTAGCTGTAGTAGCATTTTTGATCGGGCAGCAAACAAGTCTGCAGGGCTCTAGTAGCGAAACTATTTTGCTGTTATATGATCACACCAAACAAGTTTTCAAAACAAGCAAAGCATTTCGCTCTCGCAGCAAACAAATGTTTTTTTATAGCAAACTTTTGCTCGCTGTTTTAGGAATAGCTCATGGCAGAACTGCTCTTTACTGCGTGGATAATACGGGATTATCCACTTGTAGAGTGGGATGCATTATCGTGGAGCTTACGCCCTCCGAGAGGGAGAGAGGAGGGAGGGAGGGAGGGA